GATGAACAACGGGAGGACAGTGCTACAGTGCTACAGTGGTTGAGGTCTGAGGTGTAAGAGAGCAGGTGATGGGAAAGAGGAGATTCAATTCATACCTACTTTTTTCTGCTTACAAAAAAGTATTTTGAGGGGGAACCATAGTACAGTGACTAGAGCATTTATCTTGCACATGGCCGACTGGGTTTGATCCCCAGCATCCTATACTGTCCCCTGAGCACTGCCAGGAGTAATTCTTGATTGCAGAGCCAGGAGTAACCCTAAGCATGGCTGGGTGTGACCCAAAAAGAAAAAGAATTGGAAACAACCTCAAAAGTACAGAAAAGTTACAAATATAATAATATAGTACAAAAGTTTTTTCTCTTGGACTATTTGAGAGGAAAGCAATGTATTCCATTGTCCCTAACACTTCAGTGCCTGTTTCATACAAAGATTTTCTCTTATCTAACGAAAGTATAATCACTTAGTTCATGAAATAAACATTGACATATTATTCGCGCTTTTTTCTTTATGTTGGTTTTTAGGCCACACCTGGCAGTGTCCGGGGATTACTCCTGACTCTGTGCTTAGTGATTTTGCTTCTGGTGGCACTTGGGGGACAATATGCAGTGCCTGGGGTCAAATCCAGGTCAGCTGCTTGCAAGGTGACCTTACCCATTGTACTATGTTTCTGACCTATATTACCAACATTTTGTATCTTCTTTTTTTATATATATTTTTATTAGTGAAATACCATGACATCTACAGTTGTAGATTTACAAATTTTTGTGCTTGGGTTTCAGTTATACAATGATCAAATACCCATCCCTCCACCAGTGCCCATTTTCCACCACCACGGGTCCCAGTATCCCTCCTACCCCCCCATCCCCGCATTCCACCCTGGCTCTGTGGCAGGGCATTCCCCTTTGTTCTCTCTCTCCTTTTGGGTGCTGTGGTTTGCAAAAGAGGCATTGAGTGGCACTAGGTTTCTCTAAAATTATCTTCTTCTTTTTTTGATTTTTTCAATCCTGACTGTGTTCAGGGCTGACTTCTGATCACAACAAGGGACCAGGGAATTAAACCTAGGCCAGTTGTGTGCAACACAAGAGCCTTACCTGCTGTGCTATCACACTGTCCTCCTGTTGTTCATCAATTTGCTCGAGCGGGCACCAGTAATGTCTCCATTGTGAGACTTGTTGTTACTGTTTTTGGCATATGGAATATGCCATGGGGAGCTTGGCAGGCTCTGTCGTGCTGGTGGGATACTCTCAGTAGCTTGCCGAGATCTCCAAGAGGGACGGAGGAATCGAACCCCGGTAGGCTGCATGCAAAGCAAATGCCCTACCCGCTGTACTATTGCTCCAGCCTAACATTTTTTTTTTTTTGGTTGTGGTAAATCGCGGTGAGTTGTTTTTTTTATTTTTTTTATTTTACAAAGTAGTTCACAATGTTTGATTACATTTAATATTCAAACACTAATCCCATCAAAATCATGGTGAGTTAGTTATAAAGTTACAAAGATACTCATGTTTCATTGCTTCTTGGTCCTTTGGCTAAGATCAAGTGTAGTACAAAGATACTCATGTTTGAGATTCTAGTGCAAATGTTCCAACAGCAATCCCTTCACCAGTGCCCACTACCTTCACCAATGTACCCAGTTTATAACCCCAGTCTACCCCCAACCCAGCTTCCCAACCTATCACAGGTACTGCTCAATCCACCGTGGGCCTAGTGATCCTTTCCCTAACTTATCTCCCACTTCCAACCCAGAGACCAGTTTTACTCACATTCTCTATTGTCTTTGGAATGAATTCTTTACAAATCAACCATTATACATTACTAGTACTATAACGATACTTACAGATGTGGTTTTCAACTGAAAACCATTCATTATTCATTTATCTATCTCATATTCGATGCACATTTGATGAAGAGGAATTGAGAGGAAGGCAGAGAAATGCCGATAATACAATACCATTGTTTGTTGTAATACAATAACATTCCTTGGAGAAGATGTCAAAGTAGAATTGCTGGGTCATAGGAAAGCACAATGATTAGTTTTTGACAAGTGTCCATATTGTTTTCCAAAGAGGTTGATATAGTTGACATCCCATGGGCAATGGCATGGCTGAGGGTCTCTGTCCCACAATCATACCAACATTGTCCAGCCTAACATTTAATATTCATAGACTATCTCATGAGAAGACTTAAGATGCATTAAGGCAAAAGAACATGTTTAAATCACATACTACAAATATAACAAATGTGCTGTCATATTCTTTTATTGCATCCTGTCAGGAGGAACAGAATCTTTGTTCTGTTGCTCGGATGCTCTTCTTTTTGATAATTTGCTTAAGGTGTTGTTTGCTAGGTTTCTCTAAAATTAGGCCTTGCTTAATAAGTCTTTGGGAGGAACACTTGAAACTTTGTGAATATTCCATTCCTCATAAATTGATCTTTCTATCTGTCAATTATCTATTAACTTGGATTCAGAGTTTCTCTTTTCCTAAATGGGATTTTAATCTTTTACCATCCTACTAATTTTGATGCTAACGTTGTCGCTGATTTGGCTGACAGGACTTGCTAACATTAATCTATACTTCATTTTCTTTTGGCACAAGATGTTCCTGATGCTTATACTTTGCCTGGAATTAGTCTTTTATCTGTGAAGCTTTGATTCTCTTTTGAATAGAATGGCCCTTAAAGCCATGACTGGGTGATTTGTCTGCCCATGGCTTTTTGAACTCCTGTGCCACATAAGTCGATGAAAGGATGTGTGTGTATTTGTGTGTGGAGCCCCATAACTGGATTAAGGTGTGTGTGTGTGTTTGTGTGTGTGTGTCTGTGTGTGTATGTGTGTGTGCACATGGACATGTAGATTTACTTCTATATATTTTCTTGTTTGTTTTGGCCACACCCGACTTTGCTCAGGGTTTTCTTCTAGCCTTGTGTTCAAGGTTTATTCCTGGTAGGGGTCTGGACCATATGCAGTGCTGGGGATCAAACCCCCCTCAGCTGCGTGCAAGGCAAACATTCTACTTGCTGTATTATCTCTCTAATCCCTACATAAATATTTTAATTTATTAAATTTTACATCTGGTTACCTGTTTTCCCTTATATGTACAATTCCAGCCATATTAGTGTCATTCTCATTTTCTGGCCTTCTCCATCTTTCTTTGGCAGTGATAAACCTGGTTCCCACTATTCATATATTTACTTATGTGCTCTGTTTCTCTGTATGCAACCAATATTTCATTTCTGTGTCTGCAGTCCCCTGGTCCCCTCTGCCACCCCCCAACTTCATATCCATTCCTTACCACACCCGAACTCCCACCCTCCACCAGGCTATGAGAGCTTTATTGGGCTCTGGAACCTTATTAGAACTTCAATCTCTGCTCCGGATCACCCCATTCACATCCTGCCCTCCTACAGGCCATATTTCTTCCTTCTGCCTAACTTGTCTATGCCAGTACTGGAATATTGGAGAAGAGGAACAGTTGGTAAATGCTCTTAGTGGAAAGAATAGTCATTTTGGCTTATGCAGAGAAGTAATACATTGATTCAGTCCAACTTTACTTGGAGGGAGGATGAGAGAGGCTAGAGCTTTTTCTCTCAATCTGTTTTCCTTTTCTGTGGCAGTTCTTCCCCTAACTCCCAAATAACATTCACACTGTCTTTTCCTAGCTGCTAGTCCTTATCAGGGGTGAGAAAAAGCCAGCTGGTCTCTCAGGGTCCCTGCCAGCTGGGCAGGCTCCTTAGGAATGTATTTTCTTAAGATGCTGGTTCCCAATCCATAGAATATGGGGCCCAGGCAACTTACTAGAGAGAAACAGAACAAGAGCACTACTTTTGCTTTCTGTCCCAAACTGGAAGGGAGTTAGAAAAAGATGCCTTGTTTTCCTGAGAAGACAGATTTCCCTCTTTCCTTCCTTCTTGCTTGATTGCTCATATAAACTATAGGGATTTCTGTTTTTTTTTTCCTCTAAGAAGCACTAGAGAATCCATCAGAGTTGGGATGGGGGATTGGTGGAGGGACCAGAGAGAGCCAGTGATTATGGCGGGATGGGGGAAGGGAGCCGCTCTAATTTTCCTGCCTGGGTTTTTGTTGGGAGTGCTTATTTTGTTCATTGCATGGGAATTTCAGAGATTTCCAATTCATGGGCTCTGACATTGGGGAAAATTGCAAACTGGGACGTGGTGGAAAGATTGCTTAAAAATATCTGCATTGGCCAGGGAGAGAACTCAGCTGGCTGGAGTGCAGGCTTTGCATGCAGGAGCCCTGGGAAGCAAAGTCCTTGGAACCCAGCAACATGTTATCTCCAAGGACCACCTGGAATGACCCTCAAGTCCTGCAGGATGTGGCCCCCAAACTCATATCTATATCTATACATATATGCTAGACTTCCTATTTTTTATTTAATTTTTTTACTTTTCCATTTTTTAAAGGTAAAGGCCCTCCTGTTGTTCATCGATTTGCTCGAGCGGGCCCAGTAACGTCTCCATCGGAGACTTTGTTGTTACTGTGTTTGGCATATCGAATACGTCACGGGGAGCTTGCCAGGCTCTGCCGTGCAGGCGAATTTTATTAGTGAGTTACCGTGAAGTACAGTTACAGACTCACATTGTGCTTGCATTTCAGTCATACAATGATCGAGTACCCATCCCTCCACCAGTGCCAATTCTCCACCACTAATGATCCCGGTATCCTTCCCACCATACTCCCCTTTCCCCTCCCTCCTACCCCCCTCCTCTGTGGCAGGGCATTCCCTTTTTTTTTTTCCTCTCTCCTTTTGAGTGTTGTGGTTTGCAGTAGAGGTATTGAGTAGCCATCGTGTTCGGTCTATATAGACCTCCTATTTTTTATTTGAACTATGTGTGTGTGTGTGTGTGTGTGTGTGTGTGTGTTGTATATATGTGTGTGTATGTATATGTTTGTTAATTTTAATACTTTTCTGGTGATATTTTTCTCAGTTCTTTGATACTATTTTATGTATCATTAACTTTCACAATTTTATTTTTGATAGCTACCACAATGTTTGAAGCTGGAAATGGTAAAGGTAATTCAGAGGAATTTTCAGTGGAAATCAACAAAACTCTTGGAGAGTTTGCATTTCCTGAAGAATTTGTCTTTGATGTTTGGGGAGCCATCAGCGATGCCAAACAAGGACGGTTATGATGTGGATGTACCATCTCTGGAGAAATGAACCATTGTTCCCTGAAAAAGCTAAGCATCATAAAATCTGCTTTTAGACACTCTTACCGACTCTGGTTTGGTTTTATGGATGTGGGACCCATTCTTTGAAATATAATTTCTGGGTGTTTTTAAAATGCAGTTGCTTATGTGGTATGCTTAAGATAAATGATCTAAAATAGGATATGATTTTACTCTTTATTTAATACCCCCTGGAGCGATAGCACAGCGGGTAGGGCGTCTGCCTTGCACGCAGCCAACATGACCTACCCGAGTTTGATTCCTCTGCCCCTCTCGGAGAGCCCGGCAAGCTACCGAGAGTATTCGATATGCCAGACACAGTAACAACAAAGTCTCCAATGGAGACGTTACTGGCCCCGCTCGAGCAAATCGATGATCAACGGGAGGGCCTTAATACCCCCTTTAATGCAGTTTCATGGAGTGTTTCTAGATAGATGATTTTGCTCCCTATTAATGCCTTTGCTTTCTTTGTTTTCCCACCCATGAGGAACTGAATGTGATAACCTTGTAGTCCTTCTGCAGAATCTAAATGCAGTGAAAATGAGGATTGGAATATGGTTTGCCTTGTACCTTCATTTTATTACCTTGAACAGTTCACAGGATGGGAATTATGCCTTTTATAACTCTAGAAGCATAGTTGATCCACCAAAGGGAGGGATGTTTGTATGGCCCTTTGATATCTATGGTGCACTTTTTCCACTTTGTAAAACAAATGTTGATTGATTTAATTGATGTAACTGCTTCTTGGCTTCTTAAAACCTATTGAAATTGGTTGTAATGTTATGAGTTTGCAAACTTGGAAGAGAGTGAAAAAGAGGAGATAGTACAGAAATCACTTATACTTGATTTTTTAAGACAATTCTTAAAACATTTATTTTGCACCATCCCCACTTCTATGTTATCGTTTATAAGCACACCAGGGAGGATTTTTATAAAAATTTTCTTTTGAAAGATATTTTCTCAGAAAATAACTGTGTTTGAGAATTTTTTTGGGGGGAGGGGTTAAAGGTCAGTGCTTTTAAGCATCCTAAACTTTAGAGCAGATAGGATCAGAAATAGATTTTCTCCCAGTAGAAATAAAGGAAGAAGGTAGACTTGAGAAAATATTTTAGTCTATTATTTTAGAGTTCTATCATGCTCTCTCTCAAACCTTATATTATTGAGGAAATTGAGGGTAAATGACTGTCTTATCATTCTTAGTTGACATTTTACAGGTCTAAGATAAATGGAAATGAATGGTTTCAACAAAGCTCATTGAATATGGCAGAACATGGTGTGATCAAGCAGTCCTCTAAAGTATTAGGTGGAAAATGTTGTTCACTGCCATGGTAATCAGAAATAATAACCCATAAGGGATATATCATGGGAAATCAGAAGTGGTTCCTTTTCATGCTGGGTTAATTCTTGGATAACTCTTATTTTCTGGTACAGCTTTACTTTTATTGCTTCTTCACTAACCTTTTATGTAAGTTTAATGCTACAAAGTTGTTTTTTCTTTGCCTCATTCATCTGAAACCTGCACAGACACTATTTTAGTCATTAATGTGTAACTGAAGTAGTTTACAGAATGTGGATTGTCATATTCTTCTTTCCTGTCATTTGAAAATAGGATCCTGTTTGGTATATAATTGGTTGTTATATGGATTTCATTGGGACTCCCCGAACACCCCAGAAGTTTTGGGGGTATCAGAGATCTAACCCAGGTTCTCATATGAGCAAAGCATATTTTCTACCATGAGTTCCACCTCCTCCGCCCCTGTCTCCTACTAATTCTTAATAACACCATGATACTGCCTTAGAAAGGCAGGGATGGGAATATTATTGGGTGACTTCAGAAATGTTTAAAATAAAATTTTTTCTTGACTCCCAAGGTAGATATGAAATAATTAACCATTGTTTATTAGTGATAGGCATCAGTGTCTCCTCCCTGTGTGGGCATACTCCTGAGCTGACCCTTGCTGCAGATGCCCGTTGGCTTAGAGAATGTCTCACTGAGTGGGTGTGTTTACCGTGGTTGTAGAGTTTTGATGTGGATGGCATAATATCCCTACACGATTGTAACAGTACTTGTCTTATTAACACTAAAGAAGCAGTTTTTATTTGGACTTAAAGTGGACCTAGCTGCCTTGATATGACCCTTAGCCCTAATAAGTTTTCTTTTTGGAATGTCTATATTCCAGCCCTATAGCTAAACTGATAAATCTGGTTTCTTTATGTCCTTTTCTTCTACCCAAAACTATATCTCTGTGAACTTATGTATCTTTCTGTAACTCTCACCACCTCCTGCCACCTCCCCACATCACCCAGCCCCCTACCCTCCACCCCTCAAGCTGGGTCTGATTTATAGTTTTTACAGGCTATAAGCATGGGTTCTGCTGCTGCTATAATGAAACCAATTGTACTCCCATTTGCACAGCATTTTTAAAAATACTGATTTCTCTTTTGTCTTGTAGATTTCTTCATGGAAGATAATTATTTTATTCTTGATTTTTTTCTGTCAAATCAGCATGTTTAGTAGAATGAAGAGCACATGATTTCTCTCTGTACACATGGATATAACAGAGAAGGCAGATGACTGAACTTTGGGCCCATTGGGCCTTCAGTACAGCTCAGTCATGATCATATGCACATGTTCTGATTACACATAGTGCATTTTGGTTTTATGTAATTCAAAAACATAACTATATAATTATAGGGTATGAAATGCTTAATCCAAGAATAAAAGCAGGCAGCAATCAGTTAACTGCTGTTTGGGGCTTCTTATCACAAATGTGACCGACAAAAATAAATGAGTACTTCCAAATGATGTTCCTTATGTAGCATTTCTGCCTGTAACTTCAACATATAGTTAATGTTCAAATAAAGCTTACTATACTTAGGTCCATGTTATTAATAGATCTTCATCAAGTGTAGAGAAAGGTTCCTTGATTTCCTTCCATTCTCATTGTCTACTTAGCAGCAAATCTGCAGAAGTTCTACATGGAGCACAATTATCCACCAAAGATGTAAAACGATGGTCATATGAAGAGGTTTTGCTTTCTGATCTATCTATCTGTCTGTCTGTCTGTCTATCTATCTATCTATCAATCAATCATTTATCACTTTGCTCTTTTGGTGGAATTACTAGGCTAGAAGTATAGTTAAGTATTTTTTTCTAAGCTATGAGTGTGTAGAAATAGGAGATGCTATCCAAATACACACTTGTTATGTTCCTGACACATATTGGAAAGAGGGATCAGTAATTACAAGTCACACATCATAGTTTTAAATCTTTCTAAGATTGTGAAGTGTACAATGGTACAGGCTGTCCCTGCCTATTATCTGAAAACCTAATTCAAAGAAATAACTCCTGGTTATTATCTGCTAGCAGTGTGAAAGTTGAATATGTATCTTTATTTCCACTGAGACACTTAGTTTCTCTAAGACTTTAGCCTAGACATAGATATGTTCAGGCAGTAAGTAAAAGGAGAAATAAAAAAAGTTCTGAAATGCAGTTTTAAGTAAATATTTTACAGTCTTAATAGTTTGTGCCATGGAATTTTATTAACTTTAGATAAAATACTAAGCATTTTTGAAAACTTTTCTCTTTTATAAAAATCATGGAATATACTTGAAAGTATTTTTTGAATGTCAGAACTTGTTGATATGTGAGATTATAGATTATATTTTACTATTGTTTAAAAATGTTTTCTTGGCTGGGGATGTGGCCCAGTGAGAAAGTGTGTGCTTTGCATATGTGAGATCTTTAGTTTGGTTGTAGGCACTGCAAATAAGAAAGAGATGACCTGTTTTTCTACCTACATATTTATGCATTATATTGCATTGATCAAGAAGTAAATTATGTTTAAGGCTATGGTAAGTTTATGTTCTTTATACTTGAAATATTACTTATAATAAAAATCTTTTCATGAAAAAGGTGCTGTTTTTATTGCAAGAAAAGATTCTGTATTTTAAGTGTTAGTGTTCTGAATTTTGTTTAAATGATGGCAATAACATAATTGGTCAAGGCTTTATGTTTTTTGTAGGATAACATTGGTTTTTCCTTTCTGCCTTGTGACAGGGAGCTTAACTTTATTGGGTTACTCCCATGACAGTGCTCCCATTCCTCTGTATTTATTTGTAATCTCTTTGTGCTTCTTTCCCAACCGGTCAGGTCATTCACCTTTATTTCCTAGTCAGACTCTGTTAACTTGTAAATATTGCTTTTCTTTTCTCCTTAAGTCCTTTGCATAGTTAATTCAGACAATGTCCTTTTTATACAGACACAGGAAGACAGTTAATGCTATGCTTTTGTAACTTGGGAGTTAGTTGACTCTGAATGATATTCAATGGGGAGCATATGTTCTCTTCACTTAAGCCTCAGTTGCCCTTATTTCCTTGAAAACCTAATTCAAAGAAATAATAGCACCCCAAAATCAGGGTTCCAGTGAGGGACTGGATGGACCCAAGGCAAGCTGTGAGCTATCCTGGCATTGAAATGGGTCAGGCCAAAGCACCATACTTATAAGTTAAGAGCATGGACATGGGCAGATTCTGTCATGATTCAAAAAGCAACAACTGGATTAGGACCCTGCTAGGGTTAGGAAAGATTAATCTGTCCTCAGCACTGTAGTCTGAGTTCTATAGTGAGATGTCTTTAGGAGAGCTACCCTCCAAGCTTAATGTATCTCTTACTGTGCCAGTACAAAATAACTAATATTAAGAAGTAGAATTAAGATGTTAATTAAGAAAAAAAAAGATGTTAATTAAGATGTTAATTAAGTTAGTGGACTAAGGAGAGGAGAAACACCCCTAAGAGGTATTTTGCCCTTGAGTGGAAGAAGGGCTTTCATATGTTGATTGTGCTACTGAACCTAGTGGTGGTGGCTACCCCCAAATGGGGGGAGTTGGAGAGAAATGAGAAAGAGACCAGGCTGAGATATGGAGTGCAGAGAGATGAGTGGGAAAGATGAGTGGAAGAGACAGGAGGAGACGGGAATGAGGGGCAGTGTGAGAATAGAATGGGGAGCTTAGTGAGACTAGAACAAGCATGTGCGGAGAATGG